ACAGAGCTTGCCCTGGGTGTTCCAGGGAAAACAGATTCCAACCATTCATCAAGGGCTCTTTTGCATTTCTTAACTGATTGGCACAGAAAGCTCCAGATGAAAGTTAGTATTTCCTCCAAAGTGGAAGTATCATGTCCAAACAATGCACCAAGGTAGCCTGCCAGCTCTTTTTATATTTGAGGAATCTGAGGTGCAGAATTGAACCTACCTTTGTTCCCCTCTTAATGCATTTCTTTGCAAAGGCAGTACAATTCCACATTTGTGTGTTCATTCCAAAGCAAATGCTCCACTGCACTTTTTATTAAAATGAAATCTGGTGTGTGCAGCCTGGTGTTAAATGAGAGACTATTAAAGCCAATCAGTGGAGAACTCATTAGTAACCCTACAACAACAAACTAGTAGTTATGGCCCAGCATTCACAAGCAGCCATGACAACCAGTAGGAAGAACCCAGGTCTCATCGAAGGCTATAATAAAAACACAGCTTATGTAGCCCAATGGCTGTGAATATCCATACAAAATGACTGAGCTTCTATTCCTTAAATATATGCCAGAAATCATATTCTTTTCTTATGACTCATCCCTGAATTCCACTCCCAAGAATGCTCCTGTCATTTAGTTATTTCTTCCCATTTCTAAAATGTAATGAGAAGCACCAATCTCCAGCTCAAGGAAATCTGTCCCATCAATTAAAATAACAAAATAAGAAGAAGGCTGCCTATAAACACATCCACATCTGCCCACTCACTCCTCAGCAGACATGGTGAAGGGAGAATAGATGAGCTTTGCAGAATGCCTAGAAGGTTAACAACTCTCCCTGGAAGGGCCAAGAGAGAAGAACTCCACATCTGAGCATCTCTCCAGAGAAAAACCCTGTTAGAAACTCCTTCCCAACCTCTGCAATCTTCTCATCCAGTAGAAGGGAGCAGAGAGCACAGTGGTTTGCTGGATGCCCAGAAGACCGGCCATTGAGATGACTATAAACTTGGTAGACTGGAATATTCCAACCAGATTGCTTTCTGGGACAATGAAGGAATAAATTAACAGGTAATTATTGCAAACAAAACAAAGAATTAAAGAGTGTAATTGAACTGGAAAACAGTATTTGGATATTTGGACTCCAAATGATCACCAAAGCCTACTATCAGCATAAATTGAGACAGATCCCTTACTAGAGGAAAACTTACTCAAGAATCATTCAAAAAGAAAACTAACGATTCTTGTAGAACAAACCTTTCTTAAAGTATCATTTTCCTACTAGTCAGTTGGGTTATCTCACCAGAGAGCTCATTTCTAGGACAAAATCTACAATGTTCAATGGTCGTGATCACATTTCTGCAGTTTCAGCCTAACACAAAGGAGAATCAGTTCCAAGGCAGACAAGAAAACAGTTGCTATGAGACCATTATTAATATGAGAAGATGCAGACCAAACACCTACATTGGCAAGAAATGGCATTTAGATAACAGTTCGTCTTGTTTCTTTTTGTGCTTGCAGCCATACTTCAAACAAAACTTTGTTTGCACAAGCACTTTAAAAAACGAGTGTCGACGTAAGAAGGGAGAAAGAGATGGAGAAACTGAGCTTTCTTTCTAAACCTGAGCAACATTCAGTTCATTTCCTCCTTACTCCATTATACATCCAGATCAACCACCAACTGAGACCACATTGAGCAAGACCATTTGATTTTAGCTGCATTTAGAACTACTGCACTTTCAGAAAGAAAAAAAAAAAAAAAACAACATAAGAAGTGGTCAGAGTTCAAAGGCAGATCTTGGGAAATGACTAATTCACAGTCTTAGTGTATAATGTGCCCCAGCTGAACTAAATTACACATTTTTTCAGTTGGATGTGTCACTCTCCAAAGAATAAAATGGGAAAATTCCTTTATAACACTGCCTCCCAGCTATGGATTTGAAGCAAATTGGACCACTTTGGATTAGCTTCAAGAGTTTCTGAAACACCAGCTACATGGTGATGTATTATCTGAGGTCACATACACTTTGCAGTCTCCCCAGACATCAAGCCCACGTACACACAGTTCTCTATTCCATGTGGGCATGCGGAGGGGGAAGTGTAAGTTGCAGATGGCTGAATATAGTATTACCAGGTCCAGGGCAGGGCTAAAATTAGTTTTCCAGAACCTTCAGTCCAGTCCAAAGAGAGCCAGACTGTGTCCCAGACACACAGGTATCGCTGCTGCCTGCTGTGCACAATACACAAGTGCTGTGGGATCTTAGTAGGTGGAAGGGGTTAGGGAAGGTATGAAGCAGACAGGACTGCAGAGTCTGTAATACCCCAGACAGACAAAAGCATTTCAGGAGAGATTTAAAGACCTCAGATAGACCAAGTATATCAAGAGAAGTTTAAAGCTTAGCCCATAGTAAATTCCAGCGAGTTCAACGGAACTTGAAGGTATGAACAGAGATTACAGCCATTAATCTCTGTGGGTTTTGGTTCAGTGAGGTGAACTCACATCCTCATGTTTGCTTCTTTCCACTTCTCCTACCTCTCCTCTGCCTTTCCTCCTGCCCATACTCCAGGCTGTGAGGCTAAGCTTGAAGCTATCACATATCACATTTGTAAAAGCAATGGCTTATTTCGGACATCACTAGCTTTTATACATCAAAAGGTGCTCACAAGTAATCTCATTTAAACAGGCCACCAAGCACCCAACTCACTGAAGTCACACTTTTTAACCACCTCTCTCGGAAGTACAGAAAGCGTGGAAACATTTGGAGAGCACTGGCAGAGTGCTGGCCAGCACTGTGTGAGGCAAAGTGAATATTTGCACTGTAGTCACAGAAGAAACTGCAACACAGTGTAATTATTTCTGAGCTAGCTCAGGTGCCTGCAACGATCTAGGCAGCGGCAGAACGGAGCTTGGCATGGACTACTTGACTGCTTCTCAGCAAGACTGACGTTGGTACACAAACTAAGCTACATGTATCTGGAGTCATTCTGGTGAATGCTGTACCTAAAGCAGACAAAGGAGAAGGAACAGCATGATTTGGGCCACGAAGGTGAGAAGAAACCTAATATCTTCAAAAGTGACAAGAACTACTTTCATGTGGAGTGTCCAGGCTTCAGGGCATATCAATGCTGCACAACAGTACTGTCACATCTAGAGACTCAAGAGTCTCTGAGCTTGCAACTTCTTCACAATGCAAAGAAGTGCTATGCAGAGAGGTTATGCTGGGTCCTTGAAGCAGCATAGCTATATGGGTATGATGTTATGCACAGGCTAATAGAATGTCAACAGAACTAATCAGCAGAAGGTCTTTGCAGAACACTGCAGCACATAGCACGGGACAATGCTCTGTTTTCTAGATAACTGCTGAAAAGACACAAAGCAGCTCCTCGCAAAAATCTCTATTCATTTGGAAAGGTAGAACAACAGCCTGCCTTGATGCTACTTCTGATAACTTTGTATATATTAAATATCTTTTCCCTGCTTAATCATTCCAGGGATGACTCGAAAGAGCAGCAGAAAACACTCCTTACCCCTAAGCCTAGCTGGGAAGGAAACTGATAAAAGCTTTGGGCACCTTTGGTGATTCCAAGGCTTGCAGACAGCAAAAAGCCACTATGCGGAAGAGGCAGTAAAGGCGATAAGACCTGATAATATGCCAATGGATCACAGAGACAAAGGACAAATAGCAGATAGCATTACAGATAGTACAATGGGTCAAAGAATAGACTTTTATTTCAGTACTCAACTTTCAGGCAATGCAAAATCTACTCTCTTGTCCACCAGTCCTAGCTTCCTAGTACAGTTGACAGTGAGGGGGTCACAGCACGTAAACCAACCCATCACATTTACTCTGTCCCGCGATTCATCATGACAAATGAACAAAGATGCTGAGCTCCGTGTAGCCACCTCTCCTGATGGATACTGCCTGGATTTCCCTTGTTCTACCACAAAGGGAAAAACCCCAAGGATTTAACATGTCATTGGAGAACAACAACTGAGCAGGTCAGGGGGCATCTGGCTAATTGCAGATACCACCTCCCCCAGGTCTTTCCATGTGTCATTATCTGGGTTGCTTAGTGACACACTAAAACTTCAGCTGGGACAAAAAGGAAGATCTAGTAATCAGAGTTCTGTTCTAGAGGTTGTTCAACAACTGGCTTCCTCTATGACCTTAAACAGGCATCTTAGCACTGTTTCTTAAGAAAATCTGAATCTGGACCAAATGAAGATGTTTATTTCCTGTTTTAAATGCCCTTTTCCATCTGGAAAAACTAGTCATTGTGATGGAGGTGCCTAGGCACTGCATAATTTGCACAAGAGAGAATGGTACTCAAAACAGCCAGCAGACAGTAGCCAACAAGGGCAGAGTGATAGCACAAGTCCTCCTCTTTGAGGTAAACTGGATTCTTAAGACACCTAAAGGCTTTAGAGGCCTCCAATATAAAGCAGGGGCTGGGCAGAGTTGTTGATCCTAACTCTTTTTGCAGCTCTAGTTATCCAGATTTCTCTGCACTTCTCTCCTGTAATTCAGGGCTAACATACAGCGATGGACACTTGGTCCTCAGACAACAGGTGCCACGAAACTATTCCAGGTGGGTCACACAACTATCACCTATAAAGGACACCTGCTCACATACTGCTGGCACCTGGAACAGAACCTGGTGCCTTCTAGATTTCAATACAAACCAACCTGAGAGTTACAGACCCATTCATGCAAAGACACTCCAAGAAGTTCTGCAGTGTTATAAAAGTCAAATTTTTCTGCACTATGCCTTCATTGTTCCTTTTCCTCATGCTGGCTTGCCGTCTGTGTTGCATGTGTATGGAGGCTTTCTAAGGGGCTGACAGTACTGGCACTTATGACACACAGCAACACGGGTCCCACCATCAGCACACCTCCCCTTTCCCAGGTTCTGGCCAACGTTGCCCACAGTCCCAAAGCACCACGCGCCCTAGCAGAATTATTCTGGTCTCAGAGGTCCCCTCTGACCTGTCTTTTGTAAGGCTGGCCCAGTCCCTTCCCTTACCTGTTGAGCATGTTGGACTGGTAAATCCTTTTCTCCTGGGTGTTGTAACAGCTGCTCTTGGGCTCAGGGATGAAGCTGTGTTCAGATAGCATATCAGAAGCAGCCGTGGTGATTATGGCTATTCCATCCCTCACTCTGGCAGGAAGACCGTAGTCCCATTCATCATATGAGACAGAGATGAGCCCAGTGGGGAACTCGGATGGCACTGTGTCTGTATCCCCTGCCACCAGGCTGGGCACAATCCACGTGTAACCATAGCCTGTCAGACCCACAGAGTTGGCCACCTCAAAAATGTAGGTGGCCTCTTCCTTTGTGCAGTAAAGGAGGATAACAGGGCTTTGGAGCTTCTTGAGCTGGTTCTGGATCTTTGAGTCCCCATCGTCCAGGGACATGTCCAACAGGAGGACCTCCTCCAGTTCCCAACCCACAAAGCTGTGCTCAATAGTACTGCGGATCTTGTTCACAAAGTCCTGGTAACCAGGGAAGTAAGTAGTGACAATGGAGAAGATGTACCAGTCATATTCTTCCATGATGTTGAGCATGACAGAGGCTTGCTGTTCTATTGATGGGCCAAACTGGAAGAACATGGATGACTCATCCTAGAATAGGAAGTCAAAGAGAGGAAGAGAGAGAAAAAAAGAATAGGTCAAAGGAAATAAACAGCATTCCTAGTCAACCCATTGAGCATGGAGGGGGAGGCACACAGTCAGAATCTTACACTTCATGTCTTGGCCAGAGCTTAAGGATTTTTAACTTTTAAAAATTTAAAATCTAAGTGAAGCAAGTGGGAAGGAAGTAAAAGCCTTTTTATGACCAGCTGTCCTTGCTTTATTTTTAAAGGCAGGTTGCCGAAATTAATTAAGGGTTTCAAATGTTAGGCATGATTCTAACAGACAGGGAACAAGTGGTACACAAGTAAGGACAGAAAAAGAGAATATGTACAAAATATTCCATGGTTGCAGAAATTAAGAGCTTTAATCCCAGGATTATCATAACTTTATATGCAGTATAAACAAGACACACAGCAGCTTTTATGCTGATATAGTTTGGGACAGTCTCTCTAGTTTGAATATTCAGACCGAAGTACAACTAAAGTAGGCAAAACCATTGGACACAAATAGCCCTGAGAATCTTCACTGCAAGCTCTTCTCAAAGCAAGTAATAGCACAGAGTGCTACAACTGTGAAGGCTCAGTCTCAGAACAACACAAAGCATATGAAAATGGAAAAAATAAAATTCTAAACTATCATGGGTTTTGTTTATACCATGTTTAGAAAAATGTCAGCTCAATATTTCTCTTGGTGTTGCTTTCATATACTTCTCCCATACCAAGTTCATCTTTGCAAGAATGAGAATTTGTATCATTTTATAACCTCCAAGACTCCAGGGGGATTTTGTACAGATCTCAGCTCTCCAATGGCATAGTGTAAGGCTTTTTCACCCTGGGATTTCATGAGATACCAGGCTTCATTTGTGACAGATCCAGTAAAATCCAAATCCCTGCCGTTGCCCAATTCATGATGGAAAGGAATGGAAAAAGTATTTGCCAATATATTCTCTTATGGATTGATCTTTGTCTTTTAAAATCAACTGCAAACTCCCACTGACTTTTGTAGAGTAGGATTAGATCACAAACAAACAAAAAAAAAAGGCAGAATTAAATGACATCTCTCTGCAGAGATTCCCATTACAATGAGAAAGTTCTCCAAATCCAATCACCACTTTTAGAAATGAGATAGCAGCCCTGCCTTCTTGCAATAAGCCAGAAGAGCTGAATCAGATCCAAAAGGAGGTAATCAGGAGTTTTAGACCTGAGGAAACTCATTGTGCAAACGCCTCAAGACGTTACCTCAAGATACTCACACTTAGAACAGCTCTCTACCAAATTCACTCTCCTACAGCCTGGCAGGTAAAGCTGTTTTTCAGCAGGGATGCCAGTTAATCATCCATCCATCCATCCATCCATCCTTCCTTCCTTCCTTTCCTCCCTTCTTCAGTCATGGTTTTGATTACATATAGCCATTTTCTCTATTGGCAAAACATACCATAGCTCCGCAACTCCAGAAAAAAAAAAAAGCTCTGATCCTGCATCCAGCCTTAGGCTGTTCGTTTCTTTTTTCTGAACTCCCTATGGGTCACATCCTATATGAAAAAGTCCTTGCTCCCAGATCCCCATGCCTCTCCTATGAGGTTTGGTGATTAAAGTGTTCACTTCCTCCACATCTCTCACCACCCACTTGTGAAAGTACTCTTAGGGCTGCTCTTTGCTCACTGGAAAAACAAAAGTACACAAAAAGAAAAAGGAAACGAAGGCAGCAATGAATTGGAGACAAGTTAAAAAAAACAGGAGCAGCAACTGAACCTTTCAATCTGAGGCAAACAGCTCATACTTTCTATCACTGGAATTCACCTCCTTCTCCCAGGACTGTTCTCAGGAAAATAACTTACTCTTCCAATGAAAAGGCACTGTTTGTCTTTGAAGCTTATGGAGAAAATCTGGAAATCTAAAGAAAAGATTAAACCATTGTCATAGCATCCACCAGAGTTTGAAGAAAGTCTCCAAGCATCTCCAATACCCTGCATTGCACTGTGCCTTTGAAAGCCTCTTGTAGCAAACTGAATGCTAGAGTGTGAAGACTCAGCCTTACTGCAACATGAAAAGGCAAGACAGCTACACTGATGACTAGTATTTATTTTGACATTAAATTCAACAAAAGCTTTTCTATACATATGCATAAGAACCTCTGAATTGACTGTGAATTTCCAGTTTCTAGCAGAGAGTCTAAGACCTGAAGGACCTGGCTATTGAATTACAGGAACATTTGACACAGAGTCTTGAAGTCTTGTCTGAAAAAATACACAGTGCTTTCGTCAGCGACAAATAGGGGATGGGAGATGGTAAATCCACTAGTATTTCAAGGCTGCATACAAGCACACACACAGGAGTTAGCAGGCGTGACAGCGAAGTGCGGGAGGTACTGTCCTCCCTGTGATTTTAAACAGGGTCAGATGCTCCAGCCAAAGTGCCTGCTGACAATTCCTTCTACAAGAGCGCACAGCCCAACTGTTGAAGGGAATTCAGCCCCAAAGACTCAGGGAGAAAATTTGAAGCTCCTCACTAACCAGAGTGTATCAGAACATCAAAAATCAATACACCGAATAGATAGCTTTATCGTAATCCAGCTAAACAATTCCTCTCCCCTGAGAAATGTAAGCACCTCTCCTTAAATCAGACAGCACAGATCACTTTGGCTGTGCATGTAATAATTGCTCTTGAGCGACTGCTTGCATTTTTATTATAGAAGCAGGAAGAAGAGGCAACTTCTATTCGAAATGAGAGCACTAAGGAGGTGCAAGCCAGTCCAGCTTTTGGCTTGCCAAGATGTCTCTTGGCACTTGATCACCCCAATACCTGGGCTAGCCAAATGTATTTCATTCCCTAACCAACTCAGCACTCAGAAAAGAGAGGGGTGAGGGAGGAAGGGCGAACAACAGTGTAGAAGAAAGTGTTCCTCTCGTAATAAATCAGGAGAATTGCTGAAAGAGCTGGACAGGAATCTTAGTGTGTGTCTTTTGAGGGACAAAAAGCAAACTAAGAAAAACGTCTGAGCGCCACAATTTCCTTCATCTCCTTATTTTTGACCACACCTGATGGAAAGTCAGGGAAAAAGAGAAGCTGAACTGACAGAGAACCTCAGGGCTATCAGACAGAGCAGGAATTTGGCCTCACTGTGGTGTTACAGTGAAAGCTTTTAAATTCGGAGAGGGTTTTACCATTTTTACACATGTATACTCCATAGAATCATTATTGCTTTATTACAGTCTAAAACAAAAAAGGAATATTTTACCCCTCCAGACATTAAAGGTTTTTACAGAATATTAGAAGCTCCTATTTTTCTCCTGCAGAAATTTCACAGTCTCCACCTCCCTTTTTCACTTTGGAGCAGCCAAAGCATGGTTCAACGTTGCCACTGAGAGACAGATTTAAGTTTGGGGTAGGGATAGGTTGAGTTAGAAGCAGAAGTCCGTTACATTGCACCTCATCCACGTGAAATACAATTCCCTGGCTACAGGAAAAGCTTGTTGTTCTCCTACAGCCCTTTCACGTGCAAGCCCAGGCTCCCCATAGCTAACTGCTGCAAGAGAGAGCAAGATGCTGCAGGATGTCCCTCATCGAGTCTGAAAGAGTAGAGGCTCTATTACAGGATCTCAATGCCTCCAAAGATCCTAGTACTCCCCCACTGTCACCCTGCAAGGTCAGGGATCTGTAGTTTGCAGAGCTGAGCTGGAGGTGGAGCTGATCAATTGACACAGCAATGCTCCCCAACTGACAGATGGCTTCCCACAGAAAATCTGCTCCGAGTTTACCACTGCTGGGACAAGTATTGCCTCCCTCTCCTGCACATTTAACCCCTCAAATAAGGAGGCTGGATTGCACATGGTGAAGGTGCAAAAACACTCACCGTGAAGCCTCCTCTTGAAGATTGGTGGCTGGCGAGTTCCTAGATGGATGGAAGAGGGTTTGTGGAGGTGGCACAAGGCTTAGAAAGCAACCAAATTTTATTGCCACCAATTCTAAGTTGCCCAGTGACTTCTGTCCCTCAAGGGTAGTCCCATGCAGATATTGCATGAAGGCCAAGTCGGACCCTCCCCCCACCCAAGGTGCAGGACTTTGGCAAGGCTGGAGGTGACTCTCCGAGGAGCCCTCCTGCAGCTGCACCAGTTGAAACCAATCACTGCCATTTAACAAACCATTTACCTCAGAGGTGGGAGGAGAGGTCCCCAGGGTGCTTTTCTCACAAGTTCCTTCCTAACAGCCTCTCTGGATTCCCCAGGCAAGCAAAAGCAATTACTGCCTTATAAACAGCATCTCACTATCCACAGCAAAACTGCTTCTCAGCATGGTGTAGCCTTGAGAACATCCCTAAAGCAGAGGAATGCAGGATCCTCAAAAACAGTTGTGGTTGGCCAGACATCTTGAAGAACTAGAGAGCCTTCCACCAAGCCATAGTGTAAGCGCTGGCTTGGGGAGTGAGGAGATCAGTATGTTATGTTTCCTACATCTAGCCTATCTGAATGTAATCTGGTTCTGTGTGCCATGCTCTGGTGTCTGGGCCATGGACAGATCTTTTGCTATTGGTGGCAAGTTCCTTTAGCTTCAGTCCAAGTGCTAGACTCCACAAAGGCCAGGTGTGTCAAGTTATGCACAAGGAATTTGAGTGAGGAGCAAGTGTTTGCTTCTTGGATGTGGAGAAATAAACCATGTTTTTGAAAAAAGCCCTGGGCTGCTATCTCCACACAGGTGCAGGAGAAATTGTACTGCTCTGGGAGTAGCCCCTTTTTATTAGGCTTCTGGGAACATCAGTATATTTAACCCTATTTGCTGCTGCATTAAGCTTCCTGTGCAGCCATAATTTAACAACTGGGGTCTGCCCTGCCCTTCCTTTGCAGTTTGCAGAGGGAATCCAATAAATCCTAATGATTCAGGCCACTTACCAGTTTCCAAAGCCCTCTTCTCATTTTCATGATTTAGAAGAAAAGCTGTTCATATGTTTTTAGTATAGTGTTAACTTGCAAAATTCCTCTATGACCTACAGAC